TTGGAAACCCAATGCACCGGTGCGCGCAACGCACCCTGTCCAAGCAAAATGTTACCAACGATGACATCTGGTGACATGACCTCTGGCTCTGACCCGATCTAAAATTGACTGAAGTATTTCTTCTTCTTTTTGCTACCTTTGACGCTACTTTGAATACCACTTAAATGCCCAAAGCTGAGTTATAAGAATGATGCTCAATCCCCACTTCCCCTCCAACAGGGCGTAAGAGTCTAGGCATTCCTGTGGAGCATGGGCTAACAATGACTATCTCATAATCATTGTGACCATGAACATCTACTGCCATTCTTTGACACCGGTTTCGCTGCGCTGAGCGGTGGCCGTCCCGTTTGTTGGATTCTACAGCTGGCTGGCGGAAAGCGTTACCGGCCGCCCGTCCACCGCCCGCGGGCCGGACCGAGCGGTCCCGCTGACCCTACCTGACCTGAGCCCGGCGCGATATGGGACAGGCAGACGGGGGTTCGGCTCAGCGAAGGCAGCGCCCACTGGTGCTGGGGACTTTTTTAATAGACCTACTGTACCTACTCACTGCACCCGGCTACGGGGTGCACTCCCTCGGGAGCAGCGCGGCGGTGCCGCTCCAAAGGAGCACCCCGCATGAGATAAAGTTGCCTGTCCAGCCCGGAGGGGGTTGCGGTGCGGAGGAGAAGGATTTCTGTAACCTGAGGATAGAATCACGGAACGGTGTGTTCACCGGGCAGCCACGGCCCTACAAACAATATACCTACCGGGCGGGCGGGCGGAGTGCAGCCGAGGTCGCCGGAGGGCTGCAGGTGATTCACCCCGACAACGGTCTCCGTGAAATAGGTCGGCGATATCAGGTAGGGGTGACCGCGGCAAAGTGGCCACCCTAACGCTTCTTTCGATGCCGACGCTTCATTTTTAGGCTTGGAAAGATTCTTCTCTCGCCAAATATGATCCATATTAAATTGCCTTTCATGTCAACTACCTACCTACGTATGATAGCTAGTTATTGGTATCACTAAAGTCTAAAAGCACCTTACTCTAGCCACATTGGTGCTTGCTGCTAATTTTTGTTCTACACAGGATGCTCGTTGCATTCAATAAGATAAATATTTTCTCGTCATCCAGTAATACCTATCTCATCGTGGGTCTTTATGCGTAGGCCCCAGCGTGAATTGTCCAATGTCCACTGTTCACAACAGTGATGGGTGAGACTTGTCGGACCAATATCGGGCCCGGAACCCGTGCAGATAGTGCCCTGGCGTCCTGGACCTGGCTGTATACCTGTCAGGGCCGCTCCGGACCACACTATACAGAATGCACCAGTGTCGGTAAAGACCGACATCGGTATACACCGACATATGCACCTGACGACGTGTCGTATGCACCGACATATACGACATGTACAGTACACCGACTACACCGTCCTGTCGGGGGCGCTTCCGACTCGACCCTATGCATACCTGCCGGCGCGACAGGTTATGAAAATAGGGCCCTTTTTGGTCCCAGGCGAGCTGTATGTACAAAAGATTTAGTTCTCCTTCATAAAAACATGCTGTATGGCTCGGAAGGTTTCAAGTCATTCATCCTATATGATAAAAATGCATTCCAGCAATCCGCAAACATATTACATTCCATCATGCATCGCAGTAAACGATGTAACGTCCCACTCCCATTGTTACAAAATGTGGCGGTCGGGTGGCTGCGGACCGGACCGGACTGCCGGCGGTGCCTGGCGTCGGCCGCGGCTGGGCCCGGTCCGGCGGCACACCGCGCGGCGTGCCCAGCCTCCCGCGACTCACCTTGACCATGTTGGCGAGCCAGCGCTCGGAGACGGCCGGGATGGGCGCCAGCTGCACGCAGCCCTGCAGGAAGCCGATGTGGTGCTGCTCCTTGAGCGTGGGCTCCCAGCCCGACGGCAGCGGGTGACGCTGCAGACGCTCGAAAACGCGCGCCTTGTCCAGCATCGCGCGCAGCTCCCTGGCAGGCCACACCGTGGGGCAGCGCTCAGCCACGCAACAGGGGTCAGGTATGGCTGCAGCTGCTGACAAAAGACGGCTAATCTTCGCAACATAATGAGCTTAAAACACTAACGCCTCTTCAGGCAAAACGGAATCAGTATCTGTTGACACAAAAGAGTGAACTATATGAAGATGTGAATTAGCCAAAAACACTAAAAAAGGACTCAATATCGTTAATGCCAATGTCGACGTCAATGCTCGACTTACAGATGTCGCTGCAGTTTGAGCTGCTTTTGTTTTTCTGCCCTGAACTTCAGCAGAAAGCAGTCCTTGTACTGGTCTCTGGCGAAAGGTCTCGGACTGGCATCCGGTACGGGCGGAAACTTGACTTGCGATGAGCTGGAGCTCTTTCTCCGGAGAGCCATGACGCTGTTTGAGTTCTTCTCGGGGTCTATCCGTTTACTCGGCTAGCTTTATTCACGTCATGCTTGGTTTTGCTGGCATGACACGCGTTACCAAGTGGTGTTGAGACATTTCCTCCTTTACAGCTTCGTTCATCATATATTTTCGATATGGCTGCCAGCAAAGATCGCAATTCAAATCGTTATGATGTGCACGCTAAATAGGCTTGTCGCCATCTTTATCTAAAAAAGTAATATTTCAAATTAACACGAATACACTTATTGCTGCACTAGGTCCTGCTGTAGTCTGTACTAGGACCGACCTGCTGTAGGTACAGCCCTCATCTCACTGCGTGGCAGGTATTCTTTTTTTTTTAGACAAAACCGATAATAGCTCGAGGGCTATGTTTCAGTCGATCGAAATTCATAGCACAGAGATGTACCATGCTCCGCTCTTTCGATTGGGTCTATCACTAAATAACTTACCTTTATACAAAGTGTGGCAACAAAAGACCAAAGCTTGTTTTGGGACAAATGTAAACTTTCGTGTATTGTTGGCAAACTGTATGAATTTTTTTTACCATGATGAGCTCAATCTACGGTGTGAACTGTGAAGCCTCGCGCGTCTTGGTCTTACGACAGATAGCATAGTTTTCGCGTTATTATCGGTTTTCTCGAAAAAAAAGAATACCTTCCACGCAGTGAGATGAGGGCTGTTCATAGGTAACACTATTCAACAAGACCGTTTCAGGGCTATGTTTTACGAAAACAACAACGGGACAGTCTGGTGGAGCGCGGCCACCGCTCGGTCCATCCCGAGGGACTGGTGACCAGGTCGCACAGCCAAGTATTAAGTAATCTTCACCACACAAACGGTCACCCCCATAGTCTTCAGTTCACCTCCACCGACCCCCCCCCCCCCCTCCCCCACGGCTCAGAGCTCCCCCACCCCCACCCTACCCTAAGTCTTCTCCGGTTACCGGTGTAAGGAGCCGTCGAAACTCGAGCCCAAGCCCGGAACATGAAGTGGACGGTCGAGAAACGCATTGGTTCTGATGATCAATGATCATGATGAAAACGGACGGTTCAATTGTCACATTTTCATAACCGAGCAATAAACTGTGAAAAGGTATCTGAAACAACTATTTCCAATCATAACAAATAAACTCATTGTTTAAGCCTGTCCCGTAGTTCAGTTAGTGGAGCATTGGGCTCCCGGTAGTAAGAGCCCGGGTTCGAAATCGACTCGAAACCGAGTCGCTACGGCGCTCGATATACGAGACTCATGAACATGATTGAGATTGGAGATGGTCAACTTGCTGATGGTGGGTGTGGGAGAAGCCGCAGCCAGTCGGTCAGTTGCGTGGGACAGGCCGTATCCTTGGTCAAACCTATACAGACGTAGAGAAGAGAACAGAGCTTGGCATGTCTTGTTAGTGGCCAGCTGAAAATAGGATTGAAGCGTGCCTCTGACGCCGTCTAATATAGCGCATTACGCGTTGGTTTGGTATCTACCATCTGCTATCTAGGTCTGGCTTTTATGGGCACGTTCAGGTTCAACTTTGGCCATCTAAATTATCCCGTTTATAAAAAAAATATCCTGTTTCGAACTACTCGTAAATTTATGAGAAGCATGCTCACTTTTCCAAATGAAGGGTTGGCTGAGGAGGTACGGTTGGCCGGGACAGTAGTGGCGGAACACCTTCAAGTAAGGGGGGGGGGGGGCGCCGCCGACTTTTGGTCCCATTCTTTCCGTGCAACGCCCATAGGGCTAATGTTGAAATGCCAAAATCAAAGGGGGCACGGTGCCCCGGTGCCCTCCCCGTTCCGCCGCCTATGGGCCGGGGCGATAAAAATCGATCTTTATCTTAGCTTAAAAATGATCAAAACCTACAGGCTACAACCACTCTAAATCACCTCAATTTTCGAGTCATCATACGTCTACGATAATGCATATGTAGGCATTATACAAATTACAAAATACAACTTACAATCACGGTCAGTTATGACAAAATGAAAAATCTGAAACATCCGGACAAAGTGCACTCACCAGTCACCGACCCGGACCGTCGTCGCATCCGCGCCCGCATCCGCCGTCAGCTATGAATGACTGAATCAGAATGAATTGGAATGAATGGGATTCCTCGCGTTACCTTCCGCCTTGCAATAGCATTGCATTACCTGGTGAACGGAAGGTGAATATCAGTTACATAGTTCGGTGTTAGTCACTCCTGCCCCGACTGCATTTCTCGTTCGTTGAGACTTGTGCAGCTTTCATTTCCGGCCATATCACTGATCTTGAACTTCTATTTTACCGATTTTACCGTTATCATCGTTATCATCCTCTTCCATCAGCTGACTGCAATCGACAGAAAGTAAGCAGACCGGAAATCAGAGGAATGTTACTATGGCAACCGACCTATCAAAACGCACACCATTATTCAGAGCATATTATTCTTATGTGAAAAATTGCATCATTTTTTCAAAGGAAAAAAAAACACAAAAAATTGCGAGTAATCTTTCGAAGCCATCAAATAATTATAAAAACAATGATTCGGGCAAGGCGTTTCAGGAATTTTTGATTGGTTGCGTTTTTGACGCATATGAGCCATTCACCAAAAAGCTGTTTGCTTCGGCCATTATTTGTACGGCTACGCGCCCTAATCCACGAAGAAGAAGGCCATTATTTGTAGCACAGTCACAGTGTTGGTGTAGGTCAGAGAGGGACTATCCAATTTACTGTAACTATTCGCGAAAAACCTGCGGAGGAGTGTGAAAACGCTAGTGGTGTCAATCGGAACCGGAATCTTCGGAATTCCGATTTTGTCCAATGTCCAATTCGGAATTCGGTTGGACAATGGCAGCAGGCTTTGGACAACTTTGGGACAATCGCTTGCTACACCTCAACATTTTTAAAAAGTAGTCGTGTTTAACATTGATTAGAAAGCTCAGCTTTCGATATGATTAACAATTTTGAGCTTGTAACGGTACATGAAAAGCAAATTAAATAACAGTGTTGAGTGTAAACTATTGCGTAGGTGTCGGACATCTTTGGACAAATGGCTGGCTTGGACATTTTTGGACGGACAATCGACGCAAGCATTGGACATTGGACGGACTTTGGACAAACGTTTTCTGAAATTGACACCACTAGAAAACGCCCCCCACCCCCCACCCCACCCATCCCAGCACGGCGCGGGTTAACGAAAGCTAAGGCATTATTTAGATTATCTTTTAATTTTCAGTGCCCTTGGAAATGTAGTAAAAAAATGATTGAACATTTATTGCGGCAAATTCATTTGATTGTCGTTTTGTACTTCGGTTTTTGCAGAGAAGGTATGCCTCTTGAATGAGGCTTTTGATGGATTGAACCACTTATTCACGAACCTACCTTACAAATGTTGGCTACCGTTGTCTTCTCATCAAATTAATGGTAAACATATCATTTCCTCTCTACCTTTCAGGGTAGATTGGATTACAACATTCCTTCCGATGTTGTGTTCCAGAATCCGCACACTGCGCACGATGAGGCAGGCAGTTCCGCTGGATTGTGAGAAGGCCAAGGCTCTGCTACAGTCAACAGATACATTCCTATTCGACTGTGATGGTAAGACACTTTCAGCTGTGTTATTAATTAATTTGTGATAAGACCCTTTGGCTTGAAGATTTTTTTATTTAGTCTGAATGTTTTCAGTGAGTGAAACTTTAACATCATCATTATTGGTGTTTTGCCAGCTGCTGATGTGCACGGGGGGAGGAGGGGGATATCCATGGACCCAGCCGTTCGGCCCCTGATCGAGCTAGAGCAAAAAACGAGCGTGTTCCCCGTGACGAGAGGAAATCACTGATGTCCAATTTTAAGGTCCTAGTTCATTAGTAAACATTACAGGTCAGGTCAGTGACCCAAGATTCGGGACCTGGTAGATTCTTAGGGTGAAGCTGTGTTGTGTTTTTTTTGGGGGGGGGAGGGTCATGATTCTGAAATTTACATTAGTTTTGATCAAAGATGATCAAATGTATTCATGCATTTGGATTAGATCGGGTCAGGTCTGGTCAACCAGTGGGGATCCCACTCACTGTCCATAGTAGGCGGAAACCACCACTGACAATTCATAATAGGTTACGTAGGCTACTTCTCAAATGTTCAAATGGGCGCCAATTTCGAAACAAGCTCCAAAAACCACCCCAGTTATGTGTAAAACTAGAAAAAGTGAACCAAGATCATCTAAGGTCAATGACCTGGACCTGGCCTTCACCGGTCATGTGACCTTGACAGCCACCACACTGTATTGCACAACCAGCATTTCACATGTTGCACGTTTATAATCAGCAGAAGTTTTGATCCGCTCGGATAATATGCGCTGACATGCGCTGAATCACATTCCGGCCTGACATGGTCTAGAGTAACAGGCCAAAGGTCACTGGGGTTAGGGTCATGAAATTTTCCCTGCAACTCGAAACCATTTAAATCATTGTGTCAGTTTCAGACAATTGTTTTTAGATTTATACACTTTCCAAAAGGGACTTTTATTTAATATAAGCACAGACATGTAAATCAAGACGATGAAGCAGTCTCCCGTGGTTGTTAGGGCACTCACGCCAGGCTCGCCAGGCTGGGTAACGAGGCTGATCTCACATGATCAGCGATCTCACGGGCTGCTCTCGCCTGCAGGTATTCACCACCAAATCTACTACGAATTCATCATTTTTACACACGTTTCACACGTTACAGCACACAAGCTCTTCATGTACATAGCTCCATGTAGCAGCTTTAAATTTTTACACTCTGCAAGGATGTGGGATGTTTGCTCTTACCAATTTCTTCAATGCCATTTTTTATTTAACATGGTGTTTTAGTTTGTGTTAAATTTTGAAGTGTGATACAAATAGGTGATTCCTGCTTGAAGGCATTATGTTTGCATGCTAATTTGGTGAAGTTTAAAACATAACATGTTTAAATAATTTAAAATACAATTCATTGATTTCGAGAGATTATTTTAGTTTTCAAGTGACATGCGGCCGCCATACCCGCCCGTTTCAGGCGTCCTTTGGAACGGTGGTGACGTGATAAAAGATGCGAACGCCGTCGTAAACAAACTGCAAGAACTTGGAAAGAAAGTGTTTCTGGTAACGAATAACAGTACCAAGACAAGGGACGAATATGTTGCCAAATGCGCTAAGTTGGGATTTAACTGCAATGAGGTGGGTGCGGCGCTACTCGAGGCTATTATAGTTGTTACACAGTTATTCGCTCAAACATGGAAACGACATTTTCTGTTCCCTTCAATCTCATGGCGGCAGGCGTCTTCACTTGAGTCATTTTAACCATTGGCTTTGAGATGTTGATTTTGGAAATTATTTTTTATATTGAATTATGTTTATGTGGCTAAACGTCAGATTCAAAAGATGTTCCTCCTCATGATCTTCCTTCTCCTCATCAAGGCCTCATGGTGTTGTAATAAAAAATTGATGTGATATTGGGAGCACATAACTGGTTCCAAACATGTAGTAGCTACTTTGTTTGCGGGGTCGGTTTCTTTCACTTGGTAATAATATACCTTATATACTTAACTTGTTATGTTAATAAACGTACAAGCATTATGTTCACTTTCATCCATGAAAGGTGTTTTTAATCAATGACAGAAACTGCATACTAAGTCGAATAATACCTGAGATTGAGGAGCATTTAAAGAAGTCCAGAGGTAAATATTTTCCGTCGTCCTGTATGGGCGCGGTGGCGCGCTCTGTCGGCTCATGTCGTTTGGAATGCCAGTGTTATTCGGACGCGCACAGATGTCGCTGTCACCACCTCTGTCCAGTCACTGGCGAGAATAAACACATTTTTCTGCCATGGTAAGCTCAAGGGATTGCTGCCTTTTTTGTGTGACAGTGGTTGAATGTCCTCAAACCATCTTTGTTTCCGGGTGTTTACAGCCTCAGGTGATCAGCACGTCCTATCTCACGGTGCAGTACCTCAAGTCGTTACACTTTGACAAGAAGGTGTACTTGGTGGGCTCATCTGGACTGAGTCGTGAGATGGACGCAGCCGGCATTCGCCACCTCGGCGAGGGCGTGAGTGGTGCAGGGGTTCGCTTCGTAGGGACATAAGAAAGATAATGATCTGTCTGTCATGTTTCGTTTTTTTACGTGATACAGGTATGTACTGGATACTGGGCAGTTTATTTCGGGTACCTGGATTTAAATGGGTTTCAGTCCCCTTGGTTAATCATTGATGAGCGGCCAATTCGAGCCGCTGCGCTGGCCGATGTTTTCTCCCAGCGAATGCGGCTTGCTGTCGTTGGCGGCGGCCGCATTGGAGGCGGGATGAACTCGATGGGTGGGGGCGGGATGCGGGAACGCTCGTTTTTTCTTGTACTCGGAACTTCCCGTGTTGGCGGTAGATGTCAGGACGCGCGCGACAAGCTCCGTCTAGCATGGGTTACGGCCTTGGAAGTATGTAGTTATGTCACACAAAGGTGTTTTAAGAAATGTTTGAAGGTGTTTTAGAGAAACGTATGTTTTCTTCAGCCGGACGTCATGGAGGGTAACGTGTTTGACGGCCGGCTGGACCACATCCGCCTGGACCCGGAGGTGGGCGCCGTCGTGGTCGGCTTCGACAGCCACATATCATTCAACAAGATCCTGAAGGCGTCCTCATACCTGAAGAACCCCGACGTCCTCTTCATTGCCACGAACCGCGACGAGCGCTTCCCCATGGAGCATATCGTCTGCCCAGGTGAGCGAGTAGTCCGCCCCGGCCGTGCCTTTTGTCGAGGGCTTTCGCCATACCTGTAAAAGGTTGAGGTAAATGAATTACTTCAGTCAATAAACCGGAAATAAGCTCGGGGAGGGCGTATTCCGTGATGAATTTCACATGCATGTCGAACTTCTGATGACTGTTGAGATGCTTCAACGAAAAAGTATATTTTATGTAATACTTCGACAGGCTGTAGCTGTCCTCCGACAACCCGTTCTGTGTACCGATGTGTATGTGTCGTCTCGGCGGCAGGCACGGGCACCATGGTGACTGCGGTGGCGGTGGCGTCCGGCCGCGAGCCCACCATCATGGGCAAGCCGTCGCGCGAGGTGTTCGAGGCGCTGCGCCGCCAGCACGGCCTCGACCCGGCCCGCACGGTCATGGTAGGCGACAAGTGAGTGACGCGGTCAGCACCGGCTGAAGGCGCGCGGCGCAGCGGGCACCGGATAATCAGCGACGCGCTGAGAGGCTACTCATCATTTGCCGTCTAAATGCAGTTCTCCTAAAAGCGACGCGACGACAAGCTGTTCAAGCCTCCCGTTGTCAATCGCACACGTTTTAACAAACAAACAAAAATGGAGAGGTTGACGGCCCTCATGGACCCTTACGTCCAGCTCGCCGGTTCCTGGATAAAGTAGGATGGTGAGTCGCTTATTCTTGCGGGTTCAAGACATACAATTTAACGCAGTGTAGAAGATTTCAAAAGCTAACTTTGGTTTTGTGTGGGAAAGATGAAACCTTTGCGTCATTAAGGCAATATACCGGGTGATCATTTTTGAATGATACAAAAAGAAAGTCGCCACGTGCAAAGATAGGACAAGATATTTTGATTTCACGTGCTGGTTTACATGAGGGACATTTGGACATTTTGTTTTTTATCAACATTGTCCAAGTCCGTCCTAAGGTACGGTAAATATCATCCGTTTTTATAGCATACCCTTTTTGGACATCTTAGTGTAACGATGCAATATCTCAGCTGGATGGCTTTGCAGCACAACCAATTTTAGTTCATGGCGCATGTGCAAAGGCAATAGCACGGTTATACGGGCTTCCTGGAACCTGCAAAGGATCTTGGAGTGCACGAAGACACTAAGAATAACAAAAATTCCGAAGTGGACATTGTTGATGGAAGTGCGTTCGAGTGCACTGGTTTGGCGGACCCGGGGACGGTACGGCCTTCTAGAGAATGCTGTAACCTGTCGTTTGGCCGGCTTTGTATGACTAATTCACGCGTCTCCGACACTCTTTTCAACAAGACTGTGCTTCTCCACACACATCCGCGCCTGTCATTGAGTTCCCGTGCCCCAAAGCTGGTAAGCCTGCAGTTTGCGAATAAGCGAGCACGACCGCCCGTCTTACAGCCCGGACTTCTCGTGACTGTACTTGAGTGTCTGGCCTCACCTAATGACAGGTGTGGTCAGATGTGAGCCAAAGACAATTGCACATCTAATAGTGGTAGAAGGATACTTTACCCGGAGCATGGGACGGCGGCGATAATCAGCAGAAAATGGTCAGACAAACCCGGCATCGAGCGGAGCTCAGCTGGTCGGCGGTCCGCGAGGGGTGCACACTTTGGGCACCTCCTCTAAGCTGGCTATTGACATTAATGACTGACTGTGTGTTCCAGATAAAATGTCCCACCGTACGTGTTCGATGGGTGTGTTTGGTTTAACTATCCAGCTTAACACATGGCTGATATTAACAAATGTTTTTGTATCATTCAAAAATGATCACCCGGTAACAACGCTGTGAACAGTGAAGGACATGAGGTGGTCGTCAGTTGAGCAGGTCGTTATGGACAGATGCGTCGCCATATTGGAACGTGCTCTGTGCCCACCCACGCACCTGTCTCCCTCGGAGATTAAGTCGCCTGCAGAGCGGGCTCTGTCTCCGAAATGAGTAGTTGTGTTGCGCACCGCTGACTGGCTCTCTGCGGCTGCCTCACGGCGCTGCTTAGTTTGTGGACTGTAACATTTATATTTAAATATCAGGTTACGTTGGTGGCCGTAGTTGTCACCTGGTGTACTCGTGAAGCCCGCGGACCGAGCACGGTTTGTTTTCCCCGGCAGCTGCAAGACGGACATCACCATGGGTAACGTGTGCGGTCTGCGGACGCTGGCCGTGCTGACGGGCGTGACGACGCGCGCGGACCTGGAGCGGCTGGTGGCGGACTCGGCGGCCGACGGCGCCCTGGCGCCGCAGGTGCCCGAGCTGGTGGCGCCCCAGATCGGCGACCTGCTGCCCTTCCTCTGATGGTCAGCGGCGGGCGAGGGGCCGCCTCTCCGGGCCGTCACAGAGGACGAGGGGGGGGGGGGGCTCTCGGCCGGGCAGCTCCGACAGCCGCTCTGCTGCACTGGGAGACGCGGCCGGGGCTCCCTCAGGGATAGCAGTAGGTACTGCCACGCAGACGGTAACGGGAAACACTAGTCGGAATAGATAGCCACATTGTTAGTAGCCATGACGGTTCCCTGTTAAAGGATATAAGAATCAATGATATTATTTTATTCTCTTTTAGCGGCAGCCTGGGACACAGACGTACACGTCTCGCCACGGCGTTAACTCAGGACGTGTCCCCGCGAGTCCGCAATGTTTGTCAGCAGTTCGTTTTACCGGTACTATCTGGCGGTCCTGTGAGCTGGGCCAGCCGGCCGTTCCTATGGAACTGGTGCTTTAGCTCCCCTGTCTCACCTACCTGGTCATCTCAGAGTTCTGTGTTACAGGCCACATCATATGCCATTCGCCGTGTTGGTGTAACGCTTGTATGTCTCTTACAGCTGTAAGCTCGCAAATAAATGTAGCATTGACATTTGCATTCTAGCCATCGATTTTTGAGCGCAACATGAGCAATACCTGTGCAATGTTTGTTGAGCCTTTCACTTTAATCCGGAATGGAATGCTCCATGTTGACATATGTGTTGCCTAACATCGTGAGTCATAACTGGCCAATGGCCGCGCGTGCCGTCAGTCGCCAATTATTTGCATTGCAGGGCGTAGGCGCCGACTAGCTGCCGGTCGGTTATTTCCGGCCGATCGCCGGCATACCACAAGCCGTTTGTTTTACGTGATAGTCCGATGGCCCGGCGTCCACCCCGATCATGAAGTCATGTTTGAACGCTACTACGAGCCGGCGCCAGATATCGCCCACACTTAGCGCACTCCAACCAGCGTACCCGGCCGGCAGTTACAGCACGTGGTAGCGTCCCCCCACCCCCACCCCGGCGGGGAGGGGGACGCCGCGTCTGTCCGGCGCCGGCGTCCGTGGGGCCCCCGCCGGTTCTTTTTACCCAATGTTTGTGCACTTGTCGCGCGAGCGCGGGTGCCTCCGGCGTTATCTACCGGTTGGCGCGGTTAGTTCAAGGCGTTGGCGCCAAGGCCACGGTAGCGGCGACGCTGGCGCACGGTGGTCTACGCGAAACTCATTCCAAGCAGAAATGAGCCGGCGGCGCTGAGGACGAGAGGAATGATTTGATGTTCAGAAAACGACAAATCCCCTAAAAAAATAAGCGAGGCAAAAAACACGCATAATTTGGACCTAGCATAAGGAGAATTGCGTTGGGGATTGCCGCGATGAGTTTGACATGAATTTTGAAATGAAGTGAGAGGGGCGTGGTGAAAGGTGATAAACCCATAAATTTTGGCGGACCTTTTACAGCTGTGGTCAAGCTCAAGGTCTCCACCACCAGCGGGCCGGGGGGGGGGGGGAGTCGCGGCATCCGGCCACCAACAATTTCGCCACCAATACGGCTTAGATTTGGAGGTAAAGGTGTGCATTTTCGGGTGCCCCCCCCCCCCCATTCCTAAGTCCGTTTCGGAGCCCCTCGCTATGGCGACCATTTGCAGATCTTGCAAGTCTGCATCGCACGGGGGCGATGTCATGCACTCGCGAAAAGTTGGAGATCCGATTTGTTATTTATCTTTGCGTACAAAGCTAACTTCAATGTATGGGGGGACACGAAACTCAGTCCACTAATTTTGGTGTAAAAAAAATGTTTTCAAATTAAAAAGTAAAACTGGCTTTCCTGCAGACCAACTAGTTTCCGGTTTAAATTCCACTGTGCGCCGACGGTACCCGTTTGCACGTTTGGAGCGTTCCTTTAACCGGTCACGTGATTTAAACGACGGACCAATGAGGAGCTTTAAATCGCGTTCGCGCGCCAAGCGTTTGAGCGTTTTGGCGGACTGGCGTCGCGGTGCTCCCGGAGAGCGGTGGTGTCTTTAAATGCCAGTTTCTCGGAAGGAATTGTGTTTTTGTGGTCGCAGCTGCTGTTGATCAACAAGTACGAAATGGAGCAGGTGTCAACACCTATGGCAGAACGTTTGAGAGACTATTTGTGCTACAGCCACGACGTGAAAGTCTCTGGTGACTCACTGAATGTCCAGCCTGGCTACAGTGTGTATGACCTACTTCAGTCCAGCAAGACTAAGACTGAGGCAGATTTCAGCAGTGCACCTCATGAAACTGATGTATCAACTCCAGACCAAAAAATCCCTAATGCAACACTGGACTCGTCAGGCTCAGGTGATGTGGATCACCTTCGTCGCAGAGGCCGTCCAAGGAGTGAAGACATTGAGCTTCTTCAAAATGTAGGCAAGAGGGCTAAAAGCCTCATTCAGTGCAAGTTCTGTTTCAGGGAGTTTCCTAGGGAAAAATCACTACAAGCACACATTCGTGTTCACACAGGTACGTCGTTCAGTGCTCCCAGTTGGTACCTATCCTTCCCCTGTAACTTACAGCCATTCTAAGCCATTAATTGAAGAGCTTATGCAATCACAAGTCTGAGTGACTTTCACTATTTCCATTTTGAAATTCACCTCCAATTTATAGATAGTGTGGCATTGCAGGATATTGCATCACATGTATAAATAATAAAAGTTTTAGGTCGAATAAGTGTGAGTTCATGTTAAGGATATGGAAGTCATTGTAATGCCCCCAGAAAGATGTCTTACATTTTGTCATTTTCCACTGACGCAGATGGTGGTCTGATCCGCAGGTGAACGTCCATTTGTATGTGACTACCCTGGCTGTGGCCGGCGGTTCACCCAGAGTGGCCAGCTGAACACCCACCAGCGCCTCCACACGGGGGAGAAGCCGTTCACCTGCTCCACACCAGGTATGTGTTGGCACGCACTTTCTATGCAGTTCAAGTTCTGTTTTCACTATTTTATATTATGCTTCTGTTTGATGCCCTTTTTTGTTATATATAAGCACAGTCATACAAATGCATTTGCGTAGGTACAAGAGCCAATGTTAAAAATGTTTCAGCCTTTTAGGTACATCTGAAAGGTCTGCAGATTGATCACAGGGTCCTGAATTGATAAGATTCAAAGAAATTAACAAAAAAGTTACTTTGGACTTTTGAGTCAAAACATTGCAAATTTAATGGAAGGCTGTCCAAAAAGTAGAAAACACATTAATAAGATAGGGTTTTTTTCCATTGCAAGTATTGGAATGAGGCTAAATCTGACATGAGTAATGATTGTGTTATGATAGTGAAGAAGCCAGTTCAAGAGAATGGCGGTGGTTAAGGTGCTTGGTGTTTTGTCCCAGGGTGTACGAGCCGGTTCACGCACGCCAACCGCCAGTGCAGCCTGCACCCCAAGTCGGCGCTGCACCGCGTACCTCCCGAGGACTGCGTGCCCTGCGCCAAGATCCTCAACGAGGCGTCTCCCGATGTGCGAGAGTGGTTCCAGAGGTGAGTCACTGGAGCCGCCCGTCAGGAATCCGTAATGGCTGGCTGGTAAGAAAACGTATGTAAGTATTGTAGCAAGCATTGCTGATAAAGTACAGAAGAATTCGCTTAATGAATCCACCTTGGTGACAAGGCGTTTTGGATTTAATAAGCGGTGGCTTTATTAACCGGAGTAGTCATTTTGAAAAAAGTATGCATCGCAGCTCTACAGTTGACTACATGATGATATTCCACAGAAAACAAACAGAACTGTCTGAGATGATAGACTGTGCAGCATCACGCATGCTGAGTAACACAGGACCTAACTCTCGCCATAGATACAATGAATTGTGTGATAGGCGGCAGACTACGGCTTAGTCAAGCGTTCCGTTCCACTGGTAGATAGTAAGAGGTGTAACAAGCAGATAGATTACCACTCCTCATTGCCTGAGGGCTGTTGGGCCCTGTGTGCGGTCGGACCGCACACAGCCTCCAAGCTCCGCCCACTGCGTCCCTACGTCAGCCTTCCGTCACCGCACACAGCGATCGCTGTGGCCGGTCGGGACTGGCCACAGCGTACCGTCCACCGCACGCAGCCGTGACGTCAGAGCCGCCTACCCGTCCCCTACCCCCACGCCTGCTGGACCCACCGCACACACCGCACGCAGCAGTGTGCGGTGCCCGTGAACACCCCTCAGATTTATTCCAATGAAAGCGACCAGCGCACACCAGGCTGTCACAGTCAGCGATAGCGAAGTCAACACATCCATCCACGATCACTCTCCTGTCAAGCCTGCCATGCCAACGAAACAGTCGAGTATTGCCTGTTTTGCCGGGAACAGTCAATTTTCAAACAACGACAGCTGTGATGACTCAGAAAAGCAATCAATCGCTCTCAATAATTTATTTTTCAGAGGCGTAACGGTCATTTTCAACTTGGATCAGCCCTGATTTCACTAGATCAATTAAGTGTCAAATTTTCCCGCCAATTTTCCCGTCTTTCGCATTTTTTACAAATGATTCATGAACTTTTCGAGCTACAGCATCGCGGAAAAGCGCATTCCATGGCTATTTGTCGAAGCTTTTTGGCAAGAATGTCCCCACATTTTATCCAGATTTGATCGAGGTCAAGGGTATGGCACACAGACTGCAATAACTGCCAAAATAGAGGAATCTTGCCGAATCGATTTTTCCGCGTCATTTTTTTCATCATTGTTGGACATTTTTGTCACCATTCTGTTTCTCTCCACATCTACAGGGTGTCTCAAAAGTTCGTTCACAGGTACCAGCCATGCTTTTTTGTCAATAATTCTGAATCAACAATTAATTAACGGTCGAAATTTTGCATGGGCATTCGTAACAACCTTCCTCAAGCAGTCTCATCGTTTTCAAGCGCATTCCACCCTTCATGAGCTCACAAAAAGGGTTCATCTCTGACCATGGGTCAGGCATGAAAATAGAGGTCGCAAAATCGGGTCGGCTGAGAAACTCTATTTCAGGAGTAATGGGAATGGTTAAGTCGGAAATGACCCATGGCAAACTGTCGGCGAGGATGAGTACAACATGATGATCATCTGATAAAAACGGTGGCTAAAATTTTTGAAGGACAAAACCATGCGAGACTAACAGCGTTTTGAACGACCCTCGTACGGCAGCAGACTCGTGCTCCGGAAAGCAGCTTAAAATGAAGTCATAACTATTGAAAACTGACAAGAAGCTTACAGACAGAGGTTACCCAGTTTCAAAAATTGCAGGTCATCGTAAAATAAAGACAAAGTATCATTTTAAATTGTTTATCATATCTATAACGCTAAATTTTGGGGGAAAATAACACGAAAATCGTCAATGCCAAGGACAACTGACCCTACAAAAGTGTCAATTAATGTAAATTTTTATCTTACGAAGTTTCAAGAGGCAGATCTGGAGCGAACAGCTTTCTTTTAGACACAAAATCCCGACAAAACCGCACGATGGACAGGTTTTGGCCGTTTACAAAGCAGAACCTCTCCTGAGGAAAACACTCCGCAACCCAGTGAAGATCTTGTCATGGGGAATGATGAGCGTTTGGGATTTGCAAAATTTGCACAACGTGTCTAAGAAACAGATGGCCGACACATTCTTCTACGATATGCTGCGAAAAATTTGCCC